AGCCATTTTCCTGTTGCAACCCAAGGACTTTGAGGTTCATCATAAATATCTACCTATAGGCCAACAAAAATTTTCATGAGTGGGTAACTCTAGTACTGTAGACAGGAAAATGTAATACTATATTTTTTTAAAGAATTACTTCTATTTTAATAGATCTCTATATAACTACCTTCTGTAATAACAATATTATGTGGATTATTTTTCTAATTAAAATATTAAATCCTTATTTAAAGACTGCTGTTTATTTGGCTATTTATTTACACATTACTTATGAGTCTCCGTTTGGAATTTGTTAGTTTCTATACATCTGCTCCATAAGCTATTTTTATGTGAAAGTTGCTGCTTTATAAGAACATTTGCGTCTACATGTTGCTCTTTTATTATTGCTATATTTAATTGGAATGCCTCTATTGTGTAACCAGAAAGAGTTTTTCAAACTTAGGAATGTTTGCATCACATAGTATAGAGATATGTATTTATTTATTTAATTTCATTTCCCTAAGATATCAACTTTGATTAATAATTATATACAGGCTTTGTCCTTCTTATCTGGGTGTCAACAGTAATTGGAATCCATATCCATATCCTACCTTGCAATCATGCTGCAAAAGGCCAATAAATTCCCGCTGAGTGTGTTACTTGTTAAATTTAGTGCATTACATTCAGGGTAATGAATAAAAGCAGTGGACCGTTACAGTCTGGCTGGCTGAGGAAGGCTAGAACAGTCAGACTCCCCTGAGGCCTTGAGCCAGCTTAAAAACGGTGACAGGCAGAATCAAGGGAGTCCCCAAGCATCACAGTTCAGTTTGTCTCCCTTAATTTCCTCTTCTGTAGAGACTCAGGCTGTAGGGAGGGGAGGAAATCTTATCCATTAATTCACCACACTTTCATAAAATGCTGCATGCTCTGGTTTCATTAACAAGCAAATACAGTTTAGATAAATAGTTATGTATTTACATTTGAGCAGGGAGGTGAGAATGCTACTGAATGTAAATGAGTGGCTGTGCCTTCATGCACTTCACTTTGCATATCCACATGTCTATTGTGTATTCATTTGTCTGTATTAAAAATGCACATAGATATTTTTGTGAGTGAATAATCAATAAAGCAAGCCCCATAGGTATATATGTCTACTTACTTCCCTCTCGTATTTATTAAACATACATAAGCAGTCACTGAAAAAAGGACTACAACATTTCTAAGGCTACTTACAACTCTTTTTTAATAAATAAATATACGCTTCATATAAAAATATTATTTTAAAAACTGTAATGTGAAAATTTCAGATGTATGGTAAATATGCAAATGCGAAGATATTAGAAAAAACTGGTCTATACTCTCAGTTTACTGTTTACAGTTGTGAGAACTGAGAGTCTTGATTCTCCCAGCGTAATAATTATTACACATTGTGCTTCCTGCCAAAACTAGCTGACTCCCTTAGTCCTTTGAGCTGTTGTGAATATCTATATCAATTCAAAAACAACTAGATTCTTAAAGAAAGGAAGAAAATATAATTTTATGAAATGACCACTTTTATTATTCTTGAGTGTCTCGGAAAATTTAGTGTAAAGTGTCCTTTGCTATCCAGGATAGAACAGCTGGTTCCAGATAACATGGTGTATCTCATTAGAGAGATATTAGATCTAATTATGCAACATATAAGCGAGATCATTACAGAAACATTATCTTGATGAGTTAAGTAAAGTACATGTGAAATCTAACTCTGCTGTTTTAAAGAATTTTTTAAAGCAAATGTAAGGAATTAATGATTACTTAAGTGTATGAAGAAAGCTGTTGCAAACTACTTATGAATCTTTGACATGTAATGAAAAAATATAATAGAATGATAAGTACCCTGATTATTTGTGCTAGAGATAAAAATCAACTTCTGGGCAAATATTATCTTTTGTTATGGACAATTTTTTTTTCTAAACATAATAAAAATCAGTGCCTTTTCATAGCATTTCTACTGTGTGAGAACTTCTCAAACTTTAGAGTATAACTGAATCACAGAGAGGGCTTATTAAAACAAAGATTGCCGGGCTCAAATCTCAGATTCTGTTCAATAAGGGTAGACCCAGAAAATTTGCATTTCTAAAATTCCCAAGTGATGTTCATGCTGCTGGCCCCAGTCCACTATTTGAGAACCACTGCACTATGTGAAAATCACTGAAGAAGATGCTTAACTTACATTATCTTCTTGATTATTTTTCTGTAAGATGAAAGTCCATGGATTCTATTCTGTTAGGTATTTTGCTTCCTTTCCTTTTTATTTTTGGAGA